GGTGGCTCACTATCCTCTGCCAGAGGTGGGCGGATGGCTCTCCATCTAAAAAAGTGTGTTTGTGTTCAATATACAATTCTGCAAAGTGGCTTGCTTGAATCATCAAACGCCCTATAATTTCATGTACGGCTAGGACTGCGAGGGAATTTTTATATTTTAAAACAGGAAGAGATTTTATCATTAGATGGCAATTTTAGGGTTACCTATTTGTGGGCCCCTTTCCGTTTTAACATTTCGAAGTTTGTAAGATAGACGGATACTTTTATTTCTACGTTCGCCATTTGGATATACACAAAAACAGACAAAAAGTAACAATTTGTATTATGTTCTAATAAATTGAATAAAAACGAATAATTAGATAAACTGCAGATAGGTACCTTATTAAACAATTACTGTTATGTTGAGGTTACCATCACTTAAAAAACCAAGTTAATATTAATTCCAAATGCACTACAATAAATTAAAAGGAGAAAAAAGAACTTAAAAGTGTAGTAATAATGATATCAGTGGCGGGAGATTTATAAGCTACTGTACTCTGTAATGGTGTAATAATTGTTATGAGTAAAAATCAAGTAACATGGGGACAAAGGCAAGGTGTTTCACCAAAGAATACACTATTCTAAGATTAAAGAAAATGAAATATTCTTAGTGACAGTATATTTAATGAAACAAATAAGAGAAATCAGATCCCAGCTCTACGAATTATAGTTGGAGATTTTAATAGTCACAACGTTCCTTGGGGATGTGAAAATATTAATAAAAGAGGAAAAATTCTACAATCAGTTATCGACTATTCATCGTTAACACTACCCTACACCAAAGACAACAGCATCGCAACAAACTTGGAAATTAAATAAAGCCGCATGGCCAACTTTCACGAAAAAAGTGAATGAAAACTTGTTTCCAATCAATGAAACACTAGACATGATAATAGAAAAATTCAAACAAATAATTGCAAATGCAGCATATCAAACAATTGGAAAAACAAAATCATTAAACAATCGTACTCCAGTGTCATGGTGGAACAAAATGATTGAAGAAGCACTCACAAATAAGCACTAAACAAATTAAAAAGGCATAATACTAGAAAATTTACATACTTTTAAGAAACTAAGAGCAAAAGCTCGATACATAAAGATAGTAAAAAGAGATACCATGGATAGACTACGTATAAAAAATAAAGAAAGATTATTATTATTATAACAGAAGAACGGCAATATAACTTACACTTCAGTGATATGAAAAACCAATTAAATAATCCAATCACTAATGTAGAATTCGATGATGCTCTAAATAGCACAAAAAATTCGACGCCGGGGCCAAATAACATACCAATCAGTTTTATAAGCAATCTGCCAAAAGAAGTTAAGCTACTACTGATAGAAATATACAATAAAATCTTCTCAACAATTTTCAACTGAATGGTCAAAAGCGATAATTATCTCAATCCTCAAACCAAATAAAGCCAAAACAGATCCTCATTCATATAGGCCAAGATCACTCACTTGTTCAATGTGCAAATGAATGGAAAAAATCAAAAGTTCGAACAAACGGGGCCGGAAGGAGAAAAATGTACTTGAAAATGGAATACCCCAAGGATCCAATCTAAGTTGTACACTTTTCCTCATAGTAATAAACAACCTTGCCTTGAATAGATTTTGTTTTGTTTTTTTTAAATTCATCATAGCCTACTTGATTAAAATATAAAAACCGTTGATATAACTGGTATCTTATTTTCAATCTTATGCTATAATAGCTCGTTGAAAAGAGAATTAAAAAATCTATCAAATAATCTAAAAATCCAATATGACGCCTATTTAACTTTAGGAAGTAAATGTTCCTCAAAGGTAGCCATCTTGAATTTTGTTTTGACATCAATTCTAAATAATCAAAGATAGTAACTTTTATATAAAACTTTTTTTTATATCTCTTATGCTTTCGATGATACTTTATAAGGCATTAAAGGAAATGAGCAATTTTAATTTTTTTGAGTTGACGTCGAACCTATGCGACATTTTGATTTTCCACAAGGAAATTTTAAATAAGCATCTAAAACTGCAAAACATTGTCCATTTAAGCAATTCTCTATCTTTAATAATAAGAATGTTACCTGTGCAATCCTACCCGATCTGGGACACACTCTGTATCATATCATATCATTACCAACATCCCTCCACCTTGGACGATAAAAATCCCTACATGCAACACATAATTAACCAAATCTTTAAAACAAGATCTACCACAAAACCTCGTCGTGCAACAATTCAAAGAAATTATGTCCACTAAAACAGATGCGTCAAAAATCGACAAAGGAGCTGGTATAGCAGCAATATCTCAAATTACAGAGAAAGTGATGAAAATACCATGAAAATACCAACTCGTCTATACAACTGCGGGTGAATATTTCAAAACCGAACATAGGCAATTAACATGGAAAAATAGTTATTTGTACAAACACTTTCTTCTCAAGTTTTACAAATCATTTTTTCTGAAACTACAATCAAAATAAAAAAAATAATGAAGTTTGACACTTAGCAATCTAGATGCGGGTATGTTTTAATTTTAAATGTCATTATTAAAATTAACGTAGCATTTGTTTTTTTACTTTTCTCACTAGAGAGGAAAATCGCATTTTCTTCACCCTTTGTAGATACGAAAGTAGTTGTTTCTAAAGTAGTTTCAGAAAAACTTTTTTTGCAGATCGTTGCTCCCCATGTTAACCTAGAGGGTTGATAATGACATCAATCGAAAGAAGATTTTTTTTCTCATTTAATGACGTACGAATTAATTGATTTTCAGATGTATTTCTCATTATTTTATCCAAAATTCGGCAATAAGTCTAATTAGCATAATCATGGAAGTTTCATAAAGAAATGGCATAGGTTTTGACACAGACGGGAAAACCCTCATTAAAATGCACGGAAAACAAATATTGCCTACTAGAGTAACTATTTCCGCTGTAAACGTTGTTTATTATAAATTGAACTTGACAAAAAAATTAATGCCAGTTGTCATAAAATAATAACGGGCGATCAAAAATGAGTTTCTGTCGAGTCGCCTTTGGACGTTCAAGTTGAGTATGATTTCCCATGTAAACAAAAATTCCAAAGGTGACTCGACAGCAACTCATTAGCTTCAACTTACAAGCCATGGCTAAACATTTGGTAATTGGATTTATTGCCTAATTTTTGATAAAATAATGAGAAATTCGCCTGAAAATGAACGTAATCATATATATCATTAGATGAGACAAAAATCTTCTTTCGATTGGTGTCATTTTAAACCGTCTAAGTTAACATGGGAAGCAACAATCTATAAAAAAACCTTTTCCCATGTTAATTCCCTATGTTCGGTTTTGGAATATTCACCCGGTATATACTGGAGGACTTTTGGCAAAACTAACTGCAGTCCAGACACACAAAAACCATAGAAAGCTTATGATAAACATCCTATTCTACAGAAAATTAAATAGAACTACACCAAATTAAAGAATCTAAGGTGGGTCCCATCCCACAGTGGAATAGTGGCGATGAATAAGCTGACACATGCGCAAAAAGAGCAGCAAATAATTAAACTACCCAGGAACGGCAGGAACGAATAAAAATAGTGTCCATGGAAATCCGCAACAACTTAGCTATAATACTAGACCTAAATTCAGAAAGTACATTAAAATTTCTATCAACATGTAAAAACTGTAATAAGATTCTAATAACTCTAGTGACCGGTGCGTAAATTCTTAATAAACAAAAAAATAATAAAAAAAATGAACCGTTGAAATAAAAGAATAAGGAAGAAGGGTTACATACATATAACGTACGCTTGTTGGGATCCAAAATTAGGCTTCTCAATATGGCCGACTTTGACAATTAATTGAGATTTACGGTAAAGTGAAACACAATGGTTTGCTGTAAATCGTGTAATATAACAAAGTCAAAAGCTACAGAAGCAACGAAAATTACATTTCATAGATGGTAACCATGTTATATTTCTTAAAATGGTACTATCCGCTACCAAATTAAATATATTAAATGTGTGTACCCCACTGCGCGTATGAACGTCCGCCATATTGAGAAGCCTACTAATAGGATCCTAGGCTCCTAGCTAATAACAGATAAGCGTCTTAGAGAAAACTGTACGAATTTGGTTTTATTGTGAATTGTGATTGAACCCTTAACCTATCTAAATCGGCGTGCATCAAATGTTGCAATTGTTGTGGAGCTTGTGCCGAATGGAGTATCACCTGCAAAGCAGGTTAAACTTCCGCGGAGGTTGGCTGAACACAGGTCATTGATATAAATGAGGAATAAAACTGGACCAAGAACTGATCCCTGAGGAACGCCAGAAAAATTCCGCAATGATTTCTTTAGTGTCCGATTTCGTAGATAAAGTCCCCAAGTTGAAAAAACACACGATTTGTTGCTGTTAGGGACTATTTATAAGAGCTACCAAAAGAATTTTTTAAAGTAGGTATAGATATTTGCTTATTGCAGAAATCGTGGAATAAGTGTGTAAGTGATTGAAGGAAAAATATCCCCTCGTGCCTAAGAATTGTTTTTGTGAAATAATGAAGTACCTAGTAAAATAATCAACTAACACGAAAAGTGTCAATTAAACAAAAATAAATAAATTCTGAATGTATTGAATAGTACCCGGGCGTTCCGCGTTAATATATTGATTATTGCACGTTTTTGTGCCCATGTAATTACTATAACTCCCGATTAAAGAGTCGGATGTTGGGTAATGAAGTTTAGAATAGAAAGCGACAATGATGTAAGTTAGACCTTGAATGTGCTAAGTCTATGGCATAGTTGAGAATAGGACATTTGCGTGTAAAGTTATCTTCTAATGTTTAAAGCGAGGGGAAATATTCCGAAGACGAGAATTTTGCGATGTCGTCGCCGATGAATTCAAATTTATGAATAGAAAAGACGAGTTTTAAAAATACCATTCCGTAGCGAAGCGAGCGCCCCCTATCCCAAACCATGCGCACGAAAGTCAAACGTAATCCAACATGGCGTCGAACGGTATACGTATACGTCAAGCTCCTTTAAAAAAACGGTTTTAACGTGTGGCGGTTAATGATGGACGCAAAAAAGAGTCCGATTCGCAGGACAAAGCGTCAGGCGAAAGTGCTGGAAGACTTTTGGGACTGTAGTGTGTGCACGTTTCGAAATACGGCCGAAGCGTTTAAATGTTTGATGTGCGACGTTCGTAAAGGTACATCGACTAGAAAACCTAGAATTAATCCCCAATTAGTGGCGCAGCAAGTTGCTAGCCAATTTGTGCCGGCCAGTAGTAATCCGAAACGCGAAAAGAAAGACAAAAGGTCGCTAAAGAAGCGGCGGCATCCGCCACGTCTTAAAAACGTAGACAGGAGCAGCGCCCAGACGAGGGAAGTTACCGTAAATAGCGTTACCGTTGTTATCACGGAGTACAAACCAAAAATTAAAAGTACAGAGACTATTTCGACATCGAGTTCATCAGATCACGGCTCGCATTCCGAATCGAGCATGGACGCACGGTGAACCTTATCATATAAGAACAATGGGGTGAGTTTTGTCTGTAGCCGCTTAAACGCAATGTCACTGACTGAGACTTTATCGGGCAATGACTTCTGATGTCATTTACGCTGGTCTGTTTATTTTTCCATTTATTTGTCCATTTATTTTAAGATAATAAACGCTTATCAAACTTGCATTATTTGTGGTGCTTTCGGATTTCCTCCCCTAACTCGGATGAAGGATGGATATTTCAGTTTTCGAACAAATTTAGGTATACGACGAAATGTGAAATCGGAAACGCTATCAGCACTGAGGCTTAGATTGTTGTAACTTCGCCATTTATTAGTGCTAGGAATCGGGATGTGTAGGTTTTCTCTGGGATTTCGTAAGAAACCGCACACCGCCAACCACAACAGAAGTGTCGCATACTTTACTTCGCCGTCTTGACTTTGGCCTCTGGATAAGCAAAAGTGAAATCACAAATCTGGTTTCCTTGGCGCAGTTTTTGTGTTCTAACTATCCTAATTTTACTACAAAAGATTTTCACCCACCAAGAGCTGTGGTGGCGGGAGCAATTTTTCCACTAAAGTAATACACGCAGGAAACTTTACATAATTGAATTGATTTGGAACTGTATGCCAATTTCCTGGACACTAAAATAAGATTTGCGAGCGTGTTGCATCAGTTCCTTTATCATATTTTGTTTTGAAGACATACTCGAAGAGGATGTCTGTGAAGGTGATCCATTTGATATAGGTACCCAGATATTCGAAGATGTTTCAGGATATCCATGGACGTCGGAAGATATTCTAGTACAGCGGAAATTATTATTCCTTCATTCTATTGCGTGCTAACGGCCGATATACCTACAGATTTAAACAATACTCGACGAAATTGCATTTTCTCCGCACAGAATCAGTAATAACTCGAGAAGGAAGTGACTCCAATCCAAGTGAATCCAAAGAAACTTGTATAAGAAAGAAACCACAACGAACAAACTTGCATTAAAATGCTAGTAGCTTGGCTAGTAGTGGTACAGACGGACAAAGTGCGGACAATAGCGTTCATTTTCCTTTTCGAAAATGCCCTAGAAAATTAGGGCGAGGGGTAAATCGCGTATACACTTCACCTATTTCACTATTATTGCATGGACTTCACAATACCTACTTCAAGAAATTAGACACTATAAATCTGTGCCTTCACTTTCACTCGTGGCAATTACTTTATCAGTATTTCATAAAAATACACTTGCACATCAATGTTATTGCAATTGGTTAGACCACCAACAATACACATTTCATTCGTGGAGTGAGAAAACTATATTTCTATCCTTTTCAGTTTTGCATATTTTCTTCATTTATTGTTTCAACACAATAGACCAGGTATAATGATCAAGGACTAATTATCTAAACAATTTATTGAAAAGCTGTAGTCATTATTTGAATGAAGTTGTCTCTTTTACTCCGTTTTTCTCTCGGTTTTTCTACAATTAGTCCAGGCAATAGGTAGGAAATGTGATATAGAGATGAAATTTGTTGAGATGGTAGAGAATGGTTTTTTAAAGATACACCCAAATTTGCCAACTGGAAACCCCGCCGCTCGAGAGGCGGGGGGTGATAAACCATGCATTACCTCATGGTTCGGGGTATAACACCCTCTCGTACACCCTTGATGTACATCGGAGAGAACAAATGGAGCGTTAAATTATGCACATTTCATTACCAATTCATTTTTTGTATGCAACCACTACACTTAGCTTTCGAGATATTACGCTCTAAAGCGTGGGGTTATTTGTGAATTTCCGAAAAAAATAAAATTCCATCCGGCACACCGGTCGCGGCGCTTCCACCATTCGTGGCGAGGTCGAAACCACCACCAGGTGTTGTGTTGGCGCCTGTATGTTATAATTATAACCTGCACAGCGCTTTATAGTCGTAGCCGAAACAAGTCGAAAAACGCGATTATAGGGCCTTTGATGATTAAAGGAAGCCACTTGTACAATTGTATATTGGACCAAAACAATCATTTTTAGAAGGGGAGCCATCCACCCCTCTGGCAGGGGAGGGCGAGCCGCCCCTAAAGGTGCATTTTTTAGTTTTTGGCATTTTACAGGAAATCTACACCCTATCATAAAAAGGCGTAAGTAGTTACCTTTTTGTGTAGAGCATAAAATTCTCTATCGATTAGATGTATTACCTAGCTTTTGTTCTATCTCAAAGTTGATTAACATTTTTACATTTGACAAAAAAACGCCTCTGAGGATGATTTGCAAGGGGGTCTTCTCGCAATATGGTCACAAATTGTCTGCAATCGCTTGCAAATGCAATCCTTCTGATTGCTGTGGAAATCTCCCTCACAGTCCCACAATCGCCTAAACCAATCCTGAAATCAGATTTGCAACCCCGTAATCGTTGTCATAATCTGACAATCACATTGGCAATCGTGCACGCTTCCACCTGTTTTTAGGTACAATCACACGCCACGCGAGGTTAGGCAGAAAAGTTATTTGACCTAATAACCTATTTTTGTAAATGGAACGCCCTGTATAATTTAATAATCTTAAAATATAGCGCATTAAGTTTTAACAAATATGACACACTAAGCATGATATTCAAAAAGGCCCCAAAAAAGATGTAAAAAATGATTTGATTAATACAACAAATATTTCAAAAAATGTTTTGAATCTTTCGGTTTTTTAAATCTGTTCAATTTATTTAAATCAATATGGAATTTTTGTAGTGTTATACTCGGTGTTATATTTTGGAAAAGAGATTTTTAATAATAATAATAATAATTGTACTTTATTGACTGAATATGTGTAGAATACAAAAAAAAAGACGTATTTAATGTGTAAGTAAACAATCTTAATCAGTCAAAAAGATCAATTCGCCTAAATGCAGAAAGGTCTGCATCAAGCGTTCTACCATTGACCTTGACAAACGAAATGAAAAAAAAAAGACTCGATACACTGGAAAGTAAAGGAAAGATAAAGAAACAAGAACAAAAAAAAAGAAACTGTTGACAGTAATTCATACTCGTCGTGTAGCCAACATATGCGCTTTCATCGTTCTTTTCTGATTCCACGGAGCCTTGAAGTATGCCTGGTTCTGTTAAAATAAAGTTGACAGTTTTCACCATATTGTAACTAAATGATCTTTTGAAGATTTCTTTGCGGTGCTTGGGTATCACTAGCAACTGACGATATCTACCACACAGTTGTTTTTTAGAACGGGAGGTAACTTTTGTGGCGAGATACTCTGGCGTTTTCATTTCAAAAATTCGCCAGTAGAATACAGCTGAATGACAGATAATATGTACATTTAAAACGTACGTAGAAAAATCAAAAAATTGTCAATCTCTGAATGAACCTATATTTATTAAAGGAGATATAGAAAGATGTTTGTTACAAGTTTCTTTATAATGGCTGTTGAATAATCTGGCGTTTTAAAATAAGTGTACCGGATCAGGTAAAAAAGTTATAGGACCTAACCTCATTTTTTATTGGAACGCTCTGTATATTTAAATTTAGAAAATGCAATATTAGATATTTCAAAAAATTTAAAAATGTTTTTATTTTTTGTTTTTTTTTATATTTGAACCTTTCTTCAATTTTTTTACCTTTTTTTGAATCACTTGTATTTTCCCTATTTATTGCGATTGCGTTATACCTATATTAAAAAAGAAAACTTTAATATGCTATCTTCTTCTATTAAAAAAAATTCGACATTTCTGTTATTAGTAGCAATAGCCATGACTTTTGTTGTTTTATGAATTGCTACTAATAACAGAAATGTTGAAATTTATTTTTAAATTTGCGGGTATACCAAACGCTTAACAAAACATGTAAAAACAGTTTTCTATGCACCTTTTAATTCTGAACAACTTTAAACTTCTTTCTGTAAAATGTATAGGACGGCAGGATATTGCATAAAACTAATTTCCCATGTTAAATCCTTATGTTCCTACTTACCGTGCACCACCCGGTATAAAAAAATTTATATAATTTAAGGCTCTACAAGATTTACTTAAACATTTTTTCTCTCAGATTTACATCAAAGATGTTATACCCCTAATCATGAAGCGATGCATGGTTTTTCACCCCCACCCCTCGAGCGGCAGCATTTAGAGTTGGCAAACTTGAGTGTAACTTGAGAAGACCATTCTCTACCATCCGGCTACCATTCCACCAAATTTCATCTCTCATCTCACATTTTGCAAGCAAAAAGTACCAAATGCTTGGACTACAATGATATTTTCTGACCTGACTCTAAGATAATTAGTGGACAAAATTCGCAATGTTTGCTAACATTTCCCAATATATTATTAAGATAGATAGATAGATACTTTTATTTCCACGTTCATCATTGTATACACAAAAACAGACAAAAAATAACAATATGTTCTAAAAAAAATTAATAAACTAAAACAAGTAAATAAGACTAGATGAATCGCAGATAGGTACCTCATTAAACAATTACTGTTGTGTTGAGGTTACCATCACTTAAAAAAACCAAGTTAATATTAATTCCAAATGCACTACATAAATTAAACGGAGAAAAAAGAACTTAAAAATTGCAGTAATAATGATATCAGTGGCGAGAGATTTGTAACGGTGTAATGAAAGTTAAACTTTAGATAAGAAAATAATACGCCTATTAACCTATCTTCTTGTTATCACAGTAAAAATCAAGCAAGATGGAGACAAAGGCAAAGAGTTATACCTACGAAGAATACACTATTTAAAGATTAACGAAAAAGAAAGATAAAAATAAACAAATAAATAAATGGTGTATCTATTGTAAAAAAAGAATTTCTACGTCGCAAACTGTTAGTAACCACGATTTTAAATTATTTGTAAATTTCGTACATATTCTTATACTAGATAAGTGGCTTGGTAATTTATTAAATAAATATGGTGCACAGTATGTATAAAAATGCTTATAGGCCTCGATGTTTGGCTTAGTAGTCCACACAAGGTTCTTAGATTTCAATCTGTTTGAGTGAACGTTATAATTACCCTCTATGTAACCACTCCTAAGATAGAACATTCTTAAAACACGAAACACATACATGTATCTTAATGGCAGTATTTTTAATGAAACAAATAAGGGAAATGACGAATGTAACATTGACACACCAGAAATCATTTGAATTATTTTTTTCTGAGCAACAAGTAATGGTTTTATGGACGACAAATATGTACCGCCCCACACGCATATACCGTACTGCAACTTAGAGTTTATCAGTGAGTAATAAACGTTCTTCAAGATAGGTTGCGGACAGATAAATTTTAACAAATAGAATTTTCTCATTGCCATATACATATAACGCTTTAACGTATTGATGTGAGGTTTCCAATGGCAACAGTTATCCATGGTAATACCAAGATATTTTATAGTTTCAACTTGTTCAATTTTTACACACCTTTCGCAGTATGGCTGCTCATGAGATAAACAATTCTGACATTTAAAATAAATATTAATACTTTTTGAGTGACGTCTTAGAGAAAACTGTAGAAGCTTGGTTTTGGTGCTTAAAACCATTTTGTTGTAATTGAACCACAACCTTAACTTATCTAAATCGGCCTGCATCGAATGTTGCAATTGTTCCGGGGCTTGTGCCGAGTAACACATCATCTGCAAAGCAAGTTAAACTTCCGCGGAGGTTAGCTGCACACAGGTCATTGATGTAAATAAGGAATAAAATTGGACCAAGAACTGATCCTTGAGGAACACCAGAAACATTCCGCAATGATTTACTTACTGCTCCCCTATAGCGTACAGATTGTGTCCGATTTTGTAGATAGCTCTTAAACCATTCTAACGAAATACCCCGAATACCTACAGTCCATAATTTATGTAACAAAATATCGTGATCCACAGAGTCAAACGCTTTAGTGATATCAATGAAAATCCCGCTAACATATTGTCGCTTATTATAAGTCCATCAAAAAGCATTGAACAAAAATTTAATAACGCATCTTCAGTTGATCTTCCCTCTCGAAAGCCATATTGATTTCCGACTAGTATCTTATTAAATTTTAAAAAGTTTAGCAAACGTTTTTTCATGAGTTTTTCAAAAATTTTAGCAAATACAGAAAGTAATGAAATTGGCCTATAATTATTCATGTTTGTAACATCACCCTTTTGTGCAGTGGGATCACTAGTGCTTTTTTGAGTGGATCCGGATTTACCAGTTTCTACACTAGAATTAAAAAAATCAGAAATGATTGGCGAAATGATATCGTTGACATTTTTCACAGTATTCACCGATATACCATCAATTCCCGGACTTTTATTACATTTTAGGGCTTTTATGACACTTTCTACCTCCTGTCTACAAGTGGGGCTACAGAAGAAAGATTTCTCAACCAATGTAGTTGGAAATAGATGGTAGTACTCGGCACTGTTTGTGAATGACAAGTTGGAGGATTCGCGGATTTTTTCAACTACAGAAACAAAAAAACCATTGAAAGCTTCTGAAGCATCTTCAGGTTCTGTGACTACAAGGCCATCAGTAGATACAATGTATTCCGTTTCGCATTTTACTTTATTATCCCCGTTAAGAACGACCCACTGCTTCCTTACATCATTTTTATATTTTTCAAACAGATTAAAATAGTACACTCTTTTTTGTAATGCCATATCTTGCTTGAGTTTATTTGAATAAGATGTAAAAAAAACGAGCAAGTTTTTCGTCATTATTTCTCCTTTTAAATTTTTTGTATAATAAGTTTCTAAATTTTTGTCGCTTGCAAAGGTCTACCGTCATCCAGTCTTTAATAAGTTTATGTTTTGAAGTTATTGCGTAAGTATAACATGCCCTATCTATATTCGATTTTAAAATACCTAAGAATAAGTCAAACGCTACAGACACTTCACCCTGATCATATACACAGGACCAGTCAATGACATGCAGAAAATTTCTTAGCAGTGTTTTATCAGTTTTCACCTTTGTAGTTAAAGTTGTCCCTAAAAATTTCTTTGAAACCTCAAGCATTAATTCACATATTACAATATCATGATCACTTCTACCGGAATGAATAACATAACTTCTGTATTTGATATTATCCCTACTTCTTAAATAAATATGATCTTAACAACTATCTCCCCTAGTGGGCAAATTTATCAACTGACTAAACCCATGACTAGCCATTGTACTTTGATACTGCTCAACCTGAGGGGATGTCTTTAATATACATAAATTCATATCACCAATGACCACCAAATTCCTGTCCTTATTTACATTTAATAAGATATTTAACTCATCTAAGAACAGCGCAACGGTGTGTCTATGCAGGCGATAAAGTGCGATAACAGAAAGTGATAAACCACATTCTGTGTCAATGGTAATTTTAAGAGCATCTGCAGAATGGACATTGGTAATAAAATTCATCCTCGCTTTAAACATAGATAAAACGTAAACAATTACACCGCCTGCTCTTTCGATTTCATTACACTTACTAAACGTAGTGTATCCGTTTATATGATAAAAGTCCACTTCAGAACCAAATATCCAAATTTCTGACAAAATTATTACATCAGGTAACTTACGTAGTGAGTGTAAGTGAACAAGGAACGAATTGAAGTTTTCACTCAGACTTCGAATATTTTGGTGTAATAAAACAAAATTATTATTATTACAATTTGAATTGAATTCAACAAAAGAGTCATTCATTTTTTAAACAATAATTCCCAAATACGAAACACATCCATAATTAATTAAAAAACCACACAAATTATTACGTGAAAATAGAAAGAAAATAGTTTTTACTAATATTACCAATCACAATTTTTCAATAACGTCCAACGAGCAAATTTTTATAGCTGGATCGCCTTGCTGTTTTCTTATAAATATATTTCCATTTCGGACCCAAAGATAGTTATAGTTTTTGTCCTTTTGTATTTGACGAGCCAATGAGAACACCTTTCTTCTTGTAGGAGAGAGACTTTCATTAATATACATCGGAGAAGATGGATGTTGAAATCCTAGATGCTCGGTTGAAAAATTTCTTTTAGTTCTTCTCTTCTGTAGCAAGTTCAGCTTATCTTCTCTACGTACAAACTTGACGATGATGGATGCAGGTTGATTGGAATCCTTTTTTTTGCCTAATCTGTGGCATACATCTATGTCTCTGCGCGTCAACGGTAGGTCCAGAGCTGCCCCATCTTTTGTTACCAGTGCATAAACGTCTTCATTTTTCTCTTCCGGTAGACCTTGTATTTCCACCGTATTAGCTCGGGTATATTGTTCCGGTTCTTGTACTCTCGTTTCGAGGTCCATTACCCGTTGTTTTAAATTAACATTTTCTTGGCGAAGACTGTCTATTATCTCCATGTTTTTGATAAGATTGTCCAAGATACTTTTTTGATCATCAATCTTACTATGTACAAAGTCAAACGCCCTACTTATCTCCTGCTCCATTCGCTTCCTGTCATCTTTAGCTTCTTCCAACATCACTATAATTTGTGATAAATCCGGGGTGACCGATTCTGTTGAGGGAACAGTCATGATACTTATACGTCTAGTTCGAGCGCAAGGTGGACATCGCCATATAAGGTTATCCTCGAGAATACATTTTATATCCTCCTTTGTCAGATCTACGCAATTTCCATGGCAGCTTTTTTTTACATTCGCAACAAGTGATTTTGATTTTACTCTGCGTTGTTGGTTCTTGACACACCGTACAATCTGACATGATAATACCGCAAAAGAAACAAGTTTTGGGTATCAAGAAAATTCCGGCACCAGAGATAACTAAACTTTCACTTTCACTTTTATTAAAATTGTAGAAACTGTTATGAATCTTATCACATTTACTAGATAGGTAAAATATTAAACACCTTAAATAATAACCGATTAGGAACACCGCGGATGAAACTTAAACGATTCGCCACAAACGTCTACTTTCTGCGAAGGCCCGTGCATACTTTCTGAAAAGGTTCTAGGTTCAAATCATATGATTATTTTTTTTATGTGGGTCAGTTAAACGACATTTTTTTTGGTGTTTGGACATTTTAGTGTTACCCATAAAACACGCCAGTAAAATTTTCTGATATATGCGTGTAATTTTTTAAAAATTCCCATCAATTCGTATTTCTTTCGATTGGAAACAAGTACTTTAAATTTTAAATGTTAGTATAACTAGAAGAAAGATTTTTAAACTTTTCTTAAAATTTGTTTATGAAATAACACGAATAGTAGATTAATTTAGCTATACTTTCAAACCTGCATAACGCTCATCCGATTCTCAAACTTCACTCATCATACATCAAACATATTTACGCTAATTTCGTTTCAGTTTTATATTTAAGTAAGTAAAATACAATCAACGGCGCAGCTTCTATTTTCTTAGGAGCTTATTGTTAAATTTTAAACTGCAACTACTCTGGTACTTCCTTAAATGGAAAAAAATTCTCAAAAACTCACCTGCACGCGTAACATATTCGATCTTGTGATTTCCCAAGAGCGCAGTACAGAAATACGTCGGAAAACCCCTTTAGCTTGTATATGTGCGTTTATGTTTTATCTTAATACAATTACATTTATTTCAGCATACATCGCCCACAAATATTATACGACCAACGTAATGACAACTAAGTACATTATATTGAACGATGTAATGTCTGTCCCCTTACGTATTCCATCGATTCGTAACATGCCGAGATATTGCAAACCTTTCCTACATTTCAAATATAAGTACAAATAGTAAGCCATATGTTCGTTTTACAAATACTGAAATCAGAAATATCTTCCACATCTGTTACGTTGATGCCATCTTACAATTTTATTTT